GTGGCTGGCTGGCTTGTAAACACTGGCCAGAAGTGGATGAGTCTCAGACGGAACGAATAGTGTTGGTCGAGTTTTTTAGCGCTAGTCGAGGCAAAAATTTTACGTTAAAATGTATCGCTGGTCGGATTTATCGTTAATCGATGCCATCGTTGGTCGAGGGTCCACTGTAATACAAAAAATCAGAAAAAAAATCTGAAAAATCACTTCATGTTCACACACAATATGTGCATGCATCATCACAACAAATGTTGTAATAACTATAATTCATTGTAAAAACATCGTACAAACATGAGACTTAACACCAAAATGTTGCCAGATTCTTAAGCTATTTTTCTGTAAACTTAACTCATTTTTCAATTTTTTTCACATTTTTTTTTCCATGTGCCACGGACAAAAATGATGGCTAATTTAATAATAAAAAAATCCATCAAAACTGCAAAATAATAATAAAATTTCACTGAATGCACACAAAAGCTCAAGAGATGTTTACAGCACATGAGTTACTGACTATACTCACTGAGACTCACGCTGTGGACTCGTCTGGTGATCACATGATCCGAGCGTTGTTGGTTGACAATCAAGAGCACGTATGAAAACCAGGATATTTTTTTCTCGAATTCCTTGTTTGAAAACCGACTTGTTCGACAAGTAGTGCGTTTGAGAACTGAGGTTCCACTGTGTTAGAAATCTTCCTTATGAGGACAGACTGAGGGCCCTGAATCTGCACTCTCTAGCAAGGCGTAGAATTAGGGTGAATATGATTGAGGTGTGTAAATGCAAAACAGGAATAAATAAAGGGGATATAAACAGCATACTAAAAATATCTAACCAAGACAGGACTCGCAGTAATGGGCTCAAGTTGAAAAAATTTAGATTCAGAAAGGATGTAGGAAAGCACTAGTTTGGTAACAAAGTTGTGGATGAGTGGAACAAACTTTGAAGTAATGTCACTGAGGCTAAAACATTGTGTAGTTTTTAAAAATAGGTTAGACAAATACATGAGTGAGTGTGAGTTGGACCAGACTGGCTTGGACCAATTGATAATTTGGGCCTGCCTAGCATGGGCCAATAGACCTGCTGCACTACTCCTTCTTTCTTGTTACTTTGATCACACTCCAACAGCACATCAAGCCATGAGATATTACAAGAATAAGAATGATCACGACACCCCTAGGAAAGTAAATCTAAATGTAAAATGAGTTAAAATGCAAGTGTTCAAGATTTAGTTGCCATCTTTCACATTCATAAACACTGCTGACATTCTTTTACTGTTGAACTCGCATTATTTTTATTAGTGATATCTATAATTCAGCAAAGTGTTTTTCTATTTCAACACAATTCTTCTACATCAACATTACAGGTCCTCCATCACAAATCCAGCATCATTGGGACCTGTAGTGTGTCAGATTACAGAGTGGTTAGGTTAAAATACACTTTATAAAATTAACCAACTTGACTTACACAATAAAATTAACCAACTTGACTTACACAAAGTTCATTGAACATCGGCAAAAATCGAACATTTCCGCTACTTTGAGCTCAATTTCAAGGTACTTTTCGTCATGAAAGCAATCAAAATCATGTCTATTTCTGTAACATATCTTCCATTCTATCAAATGAGTCCCAAAAAATGAGAATACAACCATAAAAAACATACGAAAATATACTGCAAAGAGGCGGCTAATGGCTGAGAAGTGAACTCCCTTATTTATCATCCGTCTTTTTTATTTTTGTTGTACGTTAAGAAGCATCTTTCCATCATACATTGCCCAAGTTTCAATGAGATAGCCCAACAAACAACCGAGAAAAAAAATATTTACCAAAAATCATATATGGCAAGCCCAAGCCAGGTACTGGAAATAAGTCACTTTGTCTGACTTTTCTGGGTTATCCCAGGTTCTCTATACATACACTGCTATGTATGATAATCTATGTAACTGTATTTGTGTATACCTGAATAAACTTATTTACTTCTAGTCTGTCAACTGAGTACAAGAAACCGCCCATTCACTTATTTCAACTACCCAATAAAGTGGCCAGAAATTGGCAATTTGGCTGATTTCACACAAATTTCAACAGATGCCAATTTCAAAAAAGGGTCCAGAATAAACAATGCAGACATTCCTGGCACTAAAATAACATTTTCTCTGTTCATTAGTCACGGCTACAGGCCCTCCTTATATTACTCTTGCTTACCATTTGGAATTTTTATTCACAAAAAAATATAAGATTTACTGTTATGCAGACTACTGCATTATTGTAATAATTGTATAAATACTGTAATGTCACCCCATTCTCGACTCCGTATTGGAATTTGGACTGGAAGGCAGACAGGTATTGGACGGTGACGTTGAGCTTCGCTAAAGAATAGAACATTTTCGCTACTGTGAGCGCAATTTCAAGGTACTTTTCGTCATGAAAGCAATCAAAATCATATCTATTTCTGTAATATATTTTTCATTCTATCAAATGAGACTGAAAAAATGAGAATATAACCATAAAAAACATACAAAAATATATCGCTAAGCGGCTGCTAATGGCTGAGAAGTGAACTCCGCTATTTATGGTCTGATTTCTTTCATTTTTGGTGTACGTTAAGAAGTATCTTTCCATCATACACTGCCAAAGTTTCAATAAGATAACCCAGCAAACAAGTGAGAATATAATAATAATAATATAATAATATAATAATAATAATAATAATAATAATAATAATAATATCTTTATTTACTATACGTACATGTACAAGGTATACAGGCCTAGCTGACATCAGTGACATATTACTATAGAGAAAGCTGCTTGTTATGCTGAGTATTTCAAGAAAATTAGGTCAGTGTCCCAGGATAACACCCACACTAGTCGACTAACACCTAGGTACCCATTTACTGATGGGTAAACATAGACAACAGGTGTAAAGAAACACACCTAATGTTTCTACCCTGGCTGGGAATTGAATATTTAACAAAAATCATATATGGCTAACCCAAGCCAGTTACTAAAAATAAGCCACGTTGACTTTTTTGGGTTATCAGAGGTTCTCTACACATATGCTGCTATGTGTGATAATCTATATAGAGAAAATAACTTTTTTGTTTCAGGTTTATGGTGAAGTACGAGTGTATATCACAGTTAGCCCTGTGCTATACTCCATTTTCTCTAATATAAGCCCCCAAGACAGGGATAGGAGAATGGTATTTGTATACCATATCCTCTTTATACCTCCGTCGAACTGCTCAGTGTTATGCCAAATATTATTTATTCTGGAGTATTTAACATGTTTTATGTTATTTATATTGTTTATTATGTCATATTAGATCAATTATGATAGGCAAATAAGCTGTAGTGTTGATATTAGTGTAATAATAAAGCATATTCTCCTGCATAACGAGACTGAGCTCATGACAACCGACAGTGGCTTCAAAGCCACCTTATCTTTAATGGATAATGTACTGTGTAGGTGCTTTACATAATGAGAAGCATTTCTTTTATTCATTGGAACCATGGCTAGGGCTAAAAGTAAGCAGGTTAAAACAATAAATGGAGAAAAAAAATTGGAATGACTTGTGCAGCAAGTAGCGCCACCAAACAGTACCAGCAGATTGGTGTGGCGACCCTGGAAATTTGAAATTATGCTAGCCAAAATTAGTGCCGAATAACTGAAGGAACCGAATAACTGATTGCCGGATTTGTGATGGCGGACCTGTATTTTGATTTCATTTTCATTCAGTATTTCACTATTGAACTGTGCACCTTTGACAAAATGGATATTGAATGAGTGATGGTGAATGAATTTCCTTGTACCTTGGTGGGAAATAGCCAATGTAGTAAAAAATTCTCATTAATAAGCTGCTTTTCTATTGGTTTAATTTTCTCAATTAATTCTTTACCTAGCATGTCCTGAATCTCTGTAACCAGTATTGTAAAGAACTTTTAGAAGTCTGCTGAAATATTTAAATCAAGGGGTATCTACAAAATATATACAAACAATGCAACTAGAATCACTTGGTTGAAAACTATGGTTCTTAATCTTTTTAAGTGCTGGTGCTTCCTCAGTTGTCTAAATTTTTTCATCCTCCCTCTCAAAAAATAACTAAATTAAAAGTTTAATTTCATCTGGAAAATTTCCATTTTTACATCAAAAACAAATATACTGTAAAGGTGAAGTAGATCAGTGACACACGTATGAATAAGAATTTCTACACATGCAATTACAAACAGAAAAAAATAGATTTCTCTTATTTAGTGGCTATTTGTTGTTGACCTTTATTAGTGGTGCTAGCCTTTGTTTCATGTGTTAGAAATGCTGTCTCTCACAATTAGGTAGTGGCAAATAACACAACAGCTGTGGAGGTTATTGTGGAATGTTTTGAGTTGTGCACACCAAAGTTTTCTAGTGTCATTATTCAAACTACAATTGGATTCCTTCATTAGCTGTCAGTTGAACAAGATTATCTTTCATTATAATATCACTACCATGCATGGGAACCAGATAAAAGTAAATGAGTTCTGTATTCTTCCCTGAGCCACAGAACCCTATCCACAGTGAAAGTAACCTTGTGAAGGCAGTCAGTTCCTGAAAATGATGTTTCACTTCAGTCATAATCAACAATTATTCTTCCACTGAAGAAACCTCAGCAGATGAAGGAAAATTAGCAAAACTTTTGTTGTAAATGCAATTTATCCAAACTGGAATTTTTTGGGTGAGGTTGATGAGGCAAATACCAGATAACCTTGGCCCAGGGCTGTGCTGCAAGAGTAGGAAAACCCTTGAAAAGCCTTCAAAGCTATATAAAGGGCTCAAAATGCTGACAACTTTTCCCTGGCAGCAATCATATTCATTCCTATTCCTTGGGCAAAGTGTTTACTTCATACACTTCAGTCTTGTACCCCAGCTTTGCTTTATTTTGCTTTGTATTTTTACCCCCAGACAAATACAGGCTTCCCTGATTAAAAACCATTAGTTTAGAAAGTAATTAAAACAATGGAACTTAAAATATTACCGATAACTTCCACAGATTGTAATAAGATAATCAGAATCAAGAGATGTGATGTACTTATTCAGATGTTCTTCGATCTTCTTAATTTCATCTCTGGGAATCCTCATTTCAAACTCGTCAAAATACCTGAAAAGATTATTTCTCTAAGTACAGGTACTTTTAAATTATTGCACACGAAAATATGGATGCTCACTTATCCAACATTCACCCAGCTGGAATTCTGGTTAACTACAGTTTTTTGTTTCATTTGAATGACAGGTGATCAAATAAACAACAGGTGTGCAATTACATAATAAAGATATAAACAAAAATACTTGATATCATATACAGTGGACCCCCGGTTATCGGCCAACTCAGTTATCAGCGGGTTTTTTGGCGCCCAGTTATCGGCCGTTTGCTTGGTTATCGGCCGTTTTGGACGCGTCCATCCGCCGGCTGGGGCAGCTTGCGCTTCAGTTTGGTTTTGTCTCTCAGTGACTGAAGAAGCTTCTGCTCGTACATCCAAACATTTCACTTGTTTACCACTGTTTTTAGTGTTTTTTTCTTGCAGTGCAACTGTGAAATAAGTAAAGATGGCTCCAAAGAAAGTTCCTAGTAAAGTTCCTGTGGTAAAGAAAGTGAGAAACACAAAGGAATTTAAGCATGAAGTGACAGAAAAGTTTGAGAGTGGTATGAAAGTGATGGAACTTGCCAGGATGTACAGCAAGAATAAATCAACAATTACATCCATCCTGGCAAAGAAAGAACAAATCAAAGATGCTAATGTTGCAAAAGGAGTAACTTTTCTAACTAAACAAAGGCCACCAATAATGGAAGAGATGGAAAAGTTATTATTGTGGATTAAGTGACCTCGGACACTCAGTTGACCCTAAGAGAGTTCTGGAGGAATCACTTCACTATCCTCCATTGTAGGTAAGGCTTGGGAGGGAGTGACTTCCAGGACTTTGAACTCTGCTTGGAGAAAACTGTGGCCAGATTGTGTCCAAGAGAGAGATTTTGAAGAGTTTGAGGCCGACCCTGACCCTGCCAACCCTGTGGACTCTATTGTGGCACTGGGAAAGTCCCTGGGGTTGGAGGTGAGTGGCGAGGATGTAGAAGAGTTGGTGGAGGACAACAGGGAAGAGCTAACCACTGAAGAGCTGCAAGAGCTTCATCTCGAACAGCAACAGACTGCAGCCGAGGAACTTGCTTCAGAGGAGGAGGAAGAGGGAGTGAAGGAGGTGCCTTCTTCAGAGATTAAAGAGGTGTGTGCAAAGTGGACTAGGGTGCTAGCTTTTATAGAGAAACACCACCTACACAAAGCTGAAACAAGCCATATCTGCAACATGTTTAGTGACAAAACCCTGTCCCACTTCAGGGAAATCTTAGAGACGTCAGAAACAGAGCACTCTGGACAGTTATTTTGTGAGACAGGGGTCCAGTGACTCTCAAGCTGGTCCTATGGAGGGGGAGTCTCTTTCCAAACACTAACTCCTACCTCTTTCCTCCTCCCTATCTTCCAGAAGTCAGCATTAGCCTTCAATAAAGGTACTGTATGTAATACGTACATAATTATTAAAAAAAATAATTTTTTGTGAATATTTTTGTTTGGAATGGATTAATTGTATTTCCATTAATTCTTATGGGAAATATTAATTCGGTTATCGGCCATCTCGGTTATTGGCCGGCCTTCTGGAACGGATTACGGCCAATAACCAGGGGTCCACTGTATCTTATTTCAGAAATGGATTGCAGTATATACATGCACGAATAAAACTTATAAAAATAAATGATTAACAAAGAGATAATCATAAGACTATCTGTCAGCTGAAGATTTTTAAATTAAAAATTAACTTTGGTTAAAGTAAATTAGATAGAATGAGACGATCGAGTTGGCAGGTCCATCTGAATTATGAAATCCATGTACTACTTGCACGGCACCTAATACAGATGTGTTTCCTTCTTGAGGTCACCCTACCTGAGTGAGAAATTGCCAATGTGGAGTTAAAACAATAATAACTTAGTTTTAACTGTAAACAATGCCTAGGCACAACACTGAGAAGAGAAAAATGAAGGTACAAACAACAGATAAAAGGATGGAAAAATTGCAAAAAACAGCAGGGAGCTTGGGCATACAATGGTGTTACTCTCGCAAATACAGCCTCTCCTCACTTACTGACGTACTCGTTTACTGACAACTCAGAGTTACAATGGGCTCTCTGACGAATTGCTATTGTATATTGTACAAGAATTAGGGTCATGAATGGGCAGTGCAGCGTCTCAGCGTCAAGCATCTCAATCTCCTTCCTACAGCCACTCATTACACTAGCTTTCACAGTCTCCAAGACTACATATTTGTACAAATTTCCTGTTGCCTGCCTGCCTGCCTTCACATATGAAAACCAGGATATTTTTTTCTCGAATTCCTTGTTCGAAAACTGACGTGTTCAACAAGTAGTGCATTTGAAAACTAAGGTTCCACTGTTAGAAATCTTTCCTATGAGGACAAACTGAGGGCCGGCCGGCCAGCCAGCCAGCCGAACACTTATTACACATCTCAGAATTGTTTCCCTTTACTTAGGGCATAGGTTATTAAGACATTACCTGGAGTTTACCTGGAGAGAGTTCCAGGGGTCAACGCCCCCACGGCCTGGTCTGTGACCAGGCCTCCTGGTGGATCAGAGCCTGATCAACCAGGCTGTTGCTGCTGGCTGCACGCAAACCAACGTACGAGCCACAGCCCGGCTGATCAGGAACTGAAAGGATGTTGCACATGGGTTATTATCGAGGTTTTTGATATTTCCTCGACCACTTGTGGCCACATCCACCTCAAAGCCACTAAACTTGGGGTCAACATCACTTTCCTCTTAAAAGGGGAGTGTTAATATGACATGACATCAGTGAATCCTTGGTGTTTGCCGAGCTATTTTCTCTAGCTGGCAGATACTAAGTGGTCCCAGATTTTTTTAATACTGCACACACCGAGTGTTAAGACCCATTCTATGCTGACCAGGCATCTCAGGCCAATCATGTCAAATTTGGAGGCAGGAAAAATAAAATGTACATGTTTGGGGCTAGCGGTAGGTAAGAACATACATATATACATTTGGACTTTCAGGGTTTAAATAAGACATGTAAGAAATACTGTACAATAAAGTCGGTTACAGCTAAAAATTAGAAAAATGCTGTGTACACATAGTTTACACAGCACTGCTCAAAAGTCCAAGGGACACAAATGGGGAACTTGAGGCTGCTGTAAAGAAATCTGCTACCCACTTAAATCAAACTGATTTTAAGGTTAGCAATGGCTGGATTGTAAAATCTCGAAGTAAACAAAGATGACGTCTTTTGGAAAAAACACATACAGCCTCTCCTCACTTAACGACAGAGTTCCGTTCCTAAGACCACATTGGTAAACCGAATTTGTTGCTAATTGAGGAGCATGTTATAATGGTAGTGGGTTTGTGTCAACCATTGATACTGTTTTAATGTTACCTCTGCACCATTTATAAAATTTTTGGTATATTTTTAAATGTTTATACAGTAATGTACTGTATATTGTAATAAACAGAATAGAGGAAATCAGCTCTAATATACATTATTTAGGTATGCATACTGGTCAGAGACCCCATCATTAAGCAAGGAGAGGCTGTATTTCTTAAAGCAAATTAAACATTATCCAGATTTAAATTGCTGATGTAGCTATGTTGTATTGATGAGGTTTCCTAAATAATACTTTGTCTAGTAGACTAAAGGAGAGTGCCAAAACACAGTGTAATGAAGGACTGTCAGCCTAGTTATACACTGGAAACATAAACACATATGCAGTTTAATGTGATCCTTTATTGACAACATTTCGCCCACACAGTGGGCTTTTTCAAGTCACAAACAGATCTACCTGGGGTGGAAGGTATGGGAGTATTTATAGTCAGGTTCAGAATGTTGAGGTCAGGTGGAGAATGCTGCATCTGATGATCTACCCGTACCTTCCACCCCAGGTAGATCTGTTTGTGACTTGAAAAAGCCCACTGTGTGGGCGAAACGTTGTCAATAAAGGATCACATTAAACTGCATATGTGTTTATGTTTCCATTGTGTCGGTATTTTATACCATTTATTTTCATCTCGTTATACACTGATACAGATGGCAATCATGGGGCCAAAAGCAAAGCCGTAGGGAAGGTTACAAAAACCTGGAGACCAAAAGATGTGTACAAAGACTGCCTCAAATATACGTACTTAAATTCAGTAAATACTTGGCTTACAGTTGATACATTTTAAATATATACGGTGGAACCCCGGATTTCGCACGCACCGGATATCGGATATAGAACACTTTTTTGGGTGAAATTTTTGCTCCGGATTTTGTACCTTGTCCCGGGAATTGTACATATCAGACACGTCCGCCTGCCCGGGAACACCATCAGTCTGGCTTTGTCACTGGTTGAGTGAGCATTCATCTGAAACATTTTGCAATTTTTGTGCTTGTTTATTGACTGCAATTGCAACATAAGCCACCATGGGCCCAAAGAAAGTTCCTAGTGCCAGCCTTTTGGTAAAGAGAGAAACATGATAGAATTCAAGAAAGAGATTCTAGAAAAATGCGAAAGTGGCGTACGTTTAGCTGAGCTTGCCAGGATGTATGGGAAGTCGAAATCAACAAATATTAGAGACCCCAGAAACAGGGCTCTATGGACAGATTTTTAGTGCGACAGGGGTCCAGTGCCAGTAAAAGACAAAGAAGGGAAGTAACCCCAGAGAGGGCTTTGATACCTGTAGTCCTTATGGAGGGGGATTACCCTTCCAAACAATAACCCCAACTCCCTCTCCCCTCCCCACCTTCTTCAATACACCAACAAGAGTCTTCAATAAAGGTATGTAATGTTCATTTATCATTAATATTAGTTCTTTATATTTATTTCTCATTGTTTTCTGTATGTAAAACTATATTCTTTAAAAAATGAATTTTTTGTGAATATTTTTGGGTGTCTGGAACGGATTAATTGGATTTACATTATTTCTTATGGGAAAAAATTACTTTGGTTTTTGTACGTTTCGGATTTAGAATGATCTTCTGGAACAGATTAAGTACGAAATCCAGGGTTTCGCTGTATTTACAAATATTTTTATAATTAAGTTACAGATATT